CCTTCTCCTCCTCTTTCTTTTTCCACTCTGCTTTCTTTCCGCTTTCCACCCATCCCCCGTTCTAGCTTGCTTGCCTTCTTCCCGTTCCTGCTCTCTTCTCTTCTCTTCTCCTTCCATCAATCAGTGCTCTGTGGTGACTAACGTTCCGGAACTTTCCTGGTGTTCAACAGCGACCAAACCGACAAGTCCACCTATTTGTGACTGGACATTCCCATCTGCAGTTTCTCTGCCATCTTTTGCGATCCTTTAGGCGACGAAGCCCCTTATATCCCTTGGTCAGGGCCCCTTTCAGCGCTCCCCAAGTTCAGAGATGTCTCCCACTCCTGTTGCAACGGCCCCTGCCGGCCAAACGCTTGAGAAGAAGCCTGTCAAATTCAGCAATCTATTGCGTACGTATTCGAGCCCTCATTCGTCTCTACCGGCCAATATCCATGATTCTGATGGCTCTGTCTACAGTCGGTGCAGGTTTGAACTTGTTCGAGTACGTATTACACCCCCCCATGACACATTCACACTAAATTCTGGATGACTAACAGCCAGCAATAGGGTCACAACCTTGGGACAGGTATGTGAAGCCGCAGGGCCGGTGAATGTCCGTTCAGCTAACACGGTTCATAAATCTAGCCGCTGGAGGTGATCAAGACAACCATGGCTGCAAACCGAGGCGATAGCTTCGCCGGTGCTATGGGTCGGATTTGGGGTCGTGGCGGGATCCTCGGTTGTAAGTTTCTCTCGCCTTGAGTTTCTCGTGACTAGCGTGTCGGATGCCGTGTCTGACGTGAAGTTACAATAGATTATCAAGGTCTCATTCCGTGGGCCTGGATTGAGGCCTCCACCAAAGGCGCTGTCCTACTCTTTGTCGCGTCGGAAGCTGAATTCCGCGCCAAGGTCCTTGGTGCCCCCGATTTCATGGCCGGAATCGCTGGTGGTATGGTTGGCGGTATTGCTCAAGCCTATGCAACAATGGGATTCTGTACTTGCATGAAGACGGTTGAGATCACCAAGCACAAGATGGCTGCGCAGGGTGTCAAGCCTCCCAGCACCTTCGCGACTTTCATGGACATCTACCGCAAGGAAGGTATCCGTGGTATCAACCGTGGTGTCAATGCGGTCGCTATCCGCCAGACCACCAACTGGGGTTCCCGTTTCGGGTTCTCTCGCTTGGCGGAGCAGACAATCCGCAAGGTAACCAACAAGGATGACAGCCAGAAGCTGAACGCTTTCGAGAAGATTCTGGCTTCGAGTCTGGGTGGTGGTTTGTCGGCTTGGAATCAGCCCATCGAGGTGATCCGTGTCGAAATGCAGAGCAAGACCGACGATCCCAACCGCCCAAAGAATCTGACGGTTGGCAAGGCTGCTAAGTACATCTATGAGAACAACGGCATCAAAGGTCTCTACCGTGGTGTGGCTCCTCGGGTGGGGCTGGGAATCTGGCAGACCGTCTGCATGGTGGCTCTGGGTGACATGTAAGTTGAACCCCGTTCCCCGCCTTTTTGTCCTTGCAATTCCGGGTTGTTCGCATACTTCGAAACCATCCATCGAATGAGCGATGCCACCAGGGTGGGCTAGCCCGGCTGGATCGGCGCACCCCGGACTCGCCATGTGATTTTGCGGTATTACCGAGGGAAGACTTCCGGCTAACGTGTGGGTCTCCGTTGCACCGAACAGGGCCAAGGAGGCAGTCGAAAAACTGACGGGCGAAGCTGTCACCGCAAAGCACTAGGGAAGGTTTGAGATACCCTTCTGCCATGCACACGGTCGGAGGCGGCAAGAACACATGCTGGCCCGGTCAGTTTGCTGTCCTCTCAGACCGCACCGTTGATGGAGTGAGGTAAAGCGACGTGCTGAGCATGCCGCACAACAGATGTTACAAGCATTTTATTTACTATACTAGTGTTAATAGACCTGCGCATGTTGATGGCTCGTTGGCCAAGATTGGCAGATGCAAATTTGGCGCGAGTTGTATAAATTATCCTGCGCTCTATATGTTAGGACCAAATTTTTGTCTCGTACGTATTACAGTTGCAGTACATGGTTTTGTTGGCCGATTTGCCTGAGACCTGGTCAAAAGATCCACCCTCTACTTATCGGGGCGTCTCATAAGTGCTCGCGGGCTGGGCAGGTAGGCTTCAGTTCACAAAGGAGCTGGAGTGTCCTGGAAAGATTTCTCCCGCGATACTGAACTCCTTGTCAAATCGCTGACATGGACTGAGACCAGCTCTCTGCTGTGTCAAGAAGGTTATTCTGCTCGGTACAGCCTCTGAATGACAAGTGTTAGACATAGATATACTTTTTGATTTTCGTCCTTGAGAACCTCGGGAAAGCGCCGATTACAACTAGCGATTGCCTTTGACCGTAAACGAAGAAACGAAACGAAGAGTACTATCCATGAGCATAACATGCCCGAACAAATCTTATTCGGGTCTCTTTGGAGATTGGAACGATTTTTGGCGCACCTACCCTGCTGTGTAAGGCTGACCTCATCAAGCCACAACCCGTTTGAGACCAGATTGAAGAATACGGATAGGTCTTCCAGCAAGGGTAGATTGATTCTAGTCTTCCACTATCTTGAAGATTGACGCCACTTCTAGCTTCATAGTCAGCCCATGCAGTCAGCCCATGCAAACGCTTGCGTGAAACTCGGAAGTATAGTGTGCGTAACATGTGCGTGAGACCTACATTATTTATGGACTGTTGCTACAAACCAAAGCTGGCGACTTCAACCGTAGATATATGATCGTCTATACACACTCATCTGGGCCAAGATCTCACCGCATAAGGCACGCAATGTAATAATAAGATACAATTGTATTACAGACGCACACCACTACAGCCACATCATCCCAAATGAAAAACAAGATATCTGCGGAAGGGTTGATCTAGACACAAGGAAACGGAAGACGCGCTTTTCCTCCAAAAGCAGAACCAGTCTAGGATGTATTTGTTGTATACATGATTAAACGGTCAAGCCAAGGTCCTGGGCGTAGGGAAGCTGGAAGAGGTCGCCGACGGCGGTAACGGAAGCCTTGCCAGACAGGAAGGACTTGGCAACCTAAAGGGTAAGGTAACGCGGTTAGTGATTTGCTGCCGTATGGACGATATTTTGGGAAAGTGAACATACCTCCTTAACCTGGGCCTCGGTGACGGCGTCAATGCTCTGGGCGACCTCGGAGATCTGGTAGGGCTTGCTGCCGTTAATGAGAGCGGAGCCAGTAGCCTCGAGGCCAGTCTCGAGGTTCTGAGCGGACTCAAGAGCACGGAACTTAGCCAGAGCAACGGCCTTCTTGACGTCTTCGCTGGCAAATTCGCCAGCAGCGGCCTTCTTCAGGACATCGACGGCGCTCTTACCAGCGGAGCTGATCTGCTCGGCCTTGCCAGAGAGGGAAATGGTGAATAGACCGGCATCCGAGTAGGCGAGGTTCTTGGTCGAGGCACGGACGTGGGAGAAGCCCTGGGTGGCCTGGCCGAGAAGAGAGAAACCAGGGGTCCACTTGATAGTGGACTCACCGCCAAGGAGGGCAGCGAGAACGGAAGCCTCGGGCTTGTAGGCAGAGGTGCCGAAGGCGCCAGAGCCGGGGAAAGCCACGACGACAGCATTTCCAGCCTTGGAGGAGATGCGCTGCTCGCCACCGTAGTACTGGGAGGCGGCGCTCTGCTGGAGCTGGTACTTGGAGGAGCTACCAGCGCTGGGAGCCTCCTTGAAGAACTGGCTAACCCACTTGGAAACCTCCGCAGAGTCGGGGCCACTGCCGACGATGGCGATGTTGGACTTAGCGAACGCCTGCTGGGCGAAATCCGCGACGGCCTCAGCAGAGATGTACTTCTCGAAAGCAGTGGTAACCGAGGGGGAGACGCTCTCACCCAGACCGCGGTGGAAAGCCACGGCGTGAGCAGCATCGAGAGCCACAGCCTCGGGGTTGGCGGCAAGAGCTTGTTGTCTGTACTTGAGGGTCTTGAGGATGACCTCGCTCAACTCGTGGGCTAATAGCGCAAAAGAAATAACCATATATCAGACTTGTCTGACCGACAAATTGAAGCTTAGCGGGATGACATACCGGAGAACTTGGTCTGGGAAGCAACCTCCGCCAAAAGTTCGACGAAGTAAGGGAGGTCATTGGCAAGAAACTTAGCCTTGAGGACAACATTCTCACGCGAGTGTGTAGCGGAAACCTCACTGCCCAGCAGTTCGACCTCCCGATTGATCCGCAGCGCCGAGCGTTTGAGTGTGGACTAGTCGTTGCAAGCAAGCGTCAGTCCACTTATGTCCAAGATAGTGTTCCTGAGACCTGCAGAGCGAGCAATTAAGCCGGGAGTGCTAACCTTGAAAGCGAACTGTTCGAGAGCATCGGAGAAGCCAGGGAAGGGCTGGTAGCGAGTACCGGCCTTGGAAACGAGGGCCAGGGTGCCGGTAGAACCGGCAACCTCTCTGTTGGCGACCTTCACACCAGCAGACTCGGAGACATCATACTGGAGGCCAGGAGTAGCGGCAGATGCCATGCCTCGACGGCTGGTGGCACCGGCAGCAGAGCACTGCTTGTGAAGCGCACGGGGCGCATTTCGGCTGATGGTGGATCGCGACAGCATTATCGCATGTGTTGAAGATACAAAGGGAGGAAGGTAGATATAAAGCCGAGAGGCTCAACAGCAATTGAAGGGGGTGGGAAGGTAGAAGAGCCGAGGAGAGCTGCTGGCGGTCGTTGAACGGGTTAGAAACGATGTCTGAAAAGCTTCAAGATGCCGGCGTTGTTGATTACTCGTACTCTGATTGGCCTGAATTGGGTGTGCGGGCGGAACCGGCTTTTCCTCCTCCTCCGAGTCAGCTGAGGTCATGTGATTTGCTCTTCTTACGACTGCACGTGAGTTTCTTCCGCCTGCGACGTGCGATAAGAAGTAACGCCAATCAATTGTCAAGGGAAAAAAAAAGAAATTCCTCAAGAGTGACAATTTGAAAGGCCTTCTTCTCCCTTTACAAGTGCCTCATGCTTTTCCCCCGGTGACCTCGATTTTTGCCCTGGAGAATTGACGGCGGTGGTTCTCTAGACAATCTCTTCAAACATGGCTTCTCAAGTATGCGAAAACGCTCCATTGTTAGCTCTATCCTCGTGCTAACAAACGTTTAACACAGTACGCAGCGGAGCTTTGCGCGCTTTTAGTTGAGGACAACTTTGGCGAGCTTTTTGCGGTATGCTCACAGCTCAAACCTTCGCTTCGTTCGCTTTCGATACACCCGACATTTTACAGCTACTGTGCCCAAAAAAATGTAGAAGGTGCAGTTAGACTGACTTTGCCCTCAATATGACCAGCGCATCTTTTCAATCCTTCAGCGTTATGACCGATTGTCCTTTCCCCGTCTCAAGTTCTATTCGCGCCTGTCTGACCGCCAGCTCCGTCATGGTCTCGCCGCGATGATCCAGCATCACCTCATCTATCACTATACCTCTTACGACGAGGGAGTCACCTACTACGAGCCCAACCCACAAGCTGCGTACTACCTAGTACGATCCGGCAAAATCCTCGCATTTATTCAAGACCGGCTAGGTAAGTATGCGGCAACTGTCATGTCCACCATCATGTTCCTCGGACATGCTCAAATCAGCCATCTCGAGACACTGCCCGAGTTAAGATCTGGACAATTGGAAGCGGACGGCATCAATGACGATCTCGAAGGAGAGGGGGCGGGGGAACGAGTGAATGGGCATAACGTGGTCGGAGCCATCGAACAGCCAGCTTTGCTCCATCCGACATTGAAGGCATTGGCATCCCATGGATATTTGATCCGGGTCCGAGATGCGCAATTTCAAAGTTATGCAGACAACGCGCTCGATGCTGAACGGGCAATCAAGTCGCGGCCCGACGTCAAACAGATGAAAGGCAAACGGCTCGAGGAAACCGTTCTAGAAGGCACACTTGCTATGCTGAGGGAAAAATTAGATGGAGATCTTACCCGTGGATTGATGCATAACGGCCTACCGCGTGGTGCCAAGAGAAGGCCTGGTAGCGGGTCTGCGGACAAGAGTGCCCGGATGGACTATGATATGGAGGACGAGGCTGAGGAGGAGAATGAGTGGTCTGATGATGACATGGGAGGGGACGCGACTCCTATGGAGGTAAAAGGCTCACCGTGTTGATTTATGCTCGTCACTGAGACTAACGGTGCTGCGTCCATCTAGTCCGGAATAGTTGTCCGAGTCAACTACGAGAAACTGGACGTTGCTCTGCGGAATCGACGGTTCCTCGACCTTGCGGAGATGCACGCGTCGTCGGCCACCGCCCAAGTCTACGAATGTCTCCTGCGACGCATTGAATACCAGACCAAGCAATGTCGGGACAGCGTGGAAATCCCTCGCGAAGGAGAAGAAGGCGAGCAATACTCCGTTGCGATTGCGCTGAGTGCGGTGACGGAAGAGGTCGACCCGCAGTTAGATCTTGCGGGCTCCATCGGCCCCATGGAAATCCAGCACTCTGTCAGCAAGCGTGGAAAGAGACCTTTAGACGAAGGAGTTAATGGGGCCAGCCATCAAGACTCCGACGCCCCTAGCCGGACCTACGAGATCGACCAGCATCTCAGTCTTCTCTCTCAACCCCCCTACAACTTGACCTCGAAGCGTGTCGTATCCGGCCTCATAACCTGGACAGTGGAGTTCCGACACCTGGCACGTAAGCTGCGGCATTTGGAACTTGAACGTGTCATCGAAGCTCGCTACGGCGATGTCGCTCTACGAGTGATCCGCGTCCTCCACGCCAAGGGCAAACTTGACGAGAAGCGCCTCCAGGAAATCAGCCTCCTTCCATTCAAGGACTTGCGGCAGGTATTAGCCAGCATGCAGTCCGGCGGATTCGTCGACTTGCAAGAAGTCCCGCGAGACGCACAGCGACAGCCGTCGCGCACAATTTACCTATGGTTCTACGACCCGGACCGGATCCGTGACAGCATCTTGGAAGACACCTACAAGGCTATGTCTCGGTGCATGCAGCGCTTACGGTTCGAGCGGAGTCGACTCAAGGAATTCCTGGAGAAAACCCAGCGCAGTGACGTCAAGGGGAACGAAGAGCGGTATTTGTCCCCGGCGGAGCTCACCCTACTAGGGCAATGGAGAAGCAAGGAGGCTTTACTGCTCGGCGAAATCACCCGGTTGGACGAGATGGTGGCAGTCATGCGGGACTACTGATGAGGGGCGATTCCAACCAACCTTGTCTCCCTGATGGCTACCCCATTCGTGATAATACATTTCTACCCACTGATGCCACCTCATATGCCCTGTATTCAATAACTTCCCTTTATGACCATACGCTCAGTGATGATCAATTGGTGCCTGGGGCATGCGCTAGCCATGCGAAAATTGTGTAAAAAGAAATGTCCAGTGTCTAGTAGGCCACCTGAACTATAAGAGGGAGCATGAGCTGTGCAGCAGGTTTGATTGAATATTACATTGCTCGACAGGCAGCCATTGGCCTGTTGCAGTCGCCGAGGTGTATAGTAATCCAACAACTCTGAAGCCGGATCACGTATCGAGCGAAACATTCACCCGGGTACGCCGGATCAGACATTTACCACACCACATACAATGACAATATTCCGGGGAGAAGGTTGCAAACCACATCCCACAAGCTACACCACATATGTAGGTATAAATGTGAACTTCCTTTCTTATCATATGCCTTTCCTGTTCGGTAGTATGCAACTTCGTGGATATCGTATCGCTGGGGGACAGTAACCGCTACCGGGAATACAGCTTACAACCTCAGAATCTACCTTAAGAAGAACCATTATCTTGTTCATTAGTCACGATCGCTGCGTCCGACTGTAGATTGTACTTCCGGCCCACTCTCAACGCCCGCAGTCGCGTTGGCCTGCTTCGACTTGGCTTCCGAGTCTCGCAGGAGACTCTCCGCGATGTCCAGCTTGCCCTTAGTCTCTTCAAGCTCCTGCTGAAGGCTCTTGATGTAATCGATTGCCATCTCTACCGTGCTGGCCTTGCTGATTGGTTGATTATTCGCTTTGTCTTTTTCTTTGTCGGCTCCCTTGAGGGGGCAGGCAGCAGCCTCCTTAGCATGTTTCATTTGGATGAATGACGGAGGAATGAGTGTCTCTATCTCCTTGAGTGCGTTGTTGATGCGGTTTCTTCGTCCCTGTTCGGCCAATTTGTGGTTGGTGCGCTTTGAGCTGAGATTCTCTGCTAAGGTCTCGGGATAGGAGACGCCAGGCAGAAGGGTGCCGTCCAGAATGTGCTGATAGTTCGACTTCGATGCCAAGTACAGAGCCGATGTTTCGCTCGACATTGCTGGGAACAGAATCCGATCAGCTGACTCGTAGATCGATGGTGCGGCTAGGGAATACTTACCATCTCCACGGACTAGCGGTTGGATGCTGGGACTGATTTTGGGACGCAGGCTGGGACTAGCTTGCGAGGAACTCAAGCTCTGTCGCTTCCGCCCTATCGGACCAAGTTTGGGTGTGTCCGATTTCTTGGGCAGCGGGCCGCTTGGCGAAGGCATAGCAATTGAGCGAGGGCTGGGAGCCAAGGAGGAGTTTCTGTTTACGACCGGAGCGGAACTCGGCTCCAGAGCTGGGGTCGTACTTCCTGAGGTTTCTGACGAAACCGATTCCGCCTGCACCGTAGTTTCAATACGAGCCACCTGCGGTCTTGTGAAAGGAGCCAGCGAAGTTGCGGCCTCGGGGAGGACCACGTCTTCCATTATGTCGTCATGGGGTTCCGAAATAGTGGGGGTTGATCGAGGAGCTGCTTGGGTGGTCGAGACCGGTGACCGTTGAATGCGCATGAGCATCGCCGGCGTCGCAGGTTCATTTGCATCTGAGGGTCGAGCTGGCTGAGGGCGAACGGCCGGCGATCTCCGCGAGTGAGGCAAAGCAGGCGGGGGCATTAAGGGCTCGGAGAGAGGCTCTGGCGAGACCGAATCTTGACCGGAGCTCTCATTGCTGGCATAACGAAGTCCACTCTCGCCGGAGGCGTGGGTGGCATTGGCAACCTGGTCTTGACTGAGGCTATTCAACAGCTCGTCGGCATTGAGGCTCATCAAGGACTTTTTGCGTGTTTGTGGCCGAACCGAGGGCGATTGCTGCTTTTTCGCACGAGCCGAGAAGGGCTTTGTGCTGGACGGCTGTCGGCGATGTTTCCGTATCAGCCCCGGGGATGACTGACTGGACGCCATGGTCAGGGGATTGTCGGCAGGTGAAGGGACAAACCCCAGCTCCGACACCTGGCTGGAATGGAAAGGATAGCCACTTGAGTTCGTGTGCTGTGCCTCGAGGGCTGGTGATGTGAGGGGGGTGAAGTACTCTCCAGGAATAGTGTATTCGGGAAGACGAAACTGAGCTTCCAACGGTGTCATGGCTGGCGAGACAAGCGGGGTGTAAAGAGCCTAGAGCGAAGCGGACGTATGCATTAGCTCTCCGAAGATGCTTCCATCCATTCCCAATCAAGACGCTTACCTGTTCATCGTTCACACGGTTAAACCTTTCGTAAACTTCACGGGTGTCGTCCGCCCGCTGCGGGAATGTAGCGGCATTTCCATGGAACTCGACACTATTCGGAGTGGGAGGAATGACCGGTCTGCCTTGCGGGACAAAGGATTGGGACATCGACTGCGTCGGTTGAGATAACGAGTGTGACTGATCCGGGACTGACGCGTGCTGATGAGGATGGTACATGGGTGGTTTGTGTGCATAGAAGGCCGGGGTGATTGGCGCGGTCGAGAAGGACGAGCCATGTGGCTGACCTTGTTGCCCGTGATGGGCAAGGTCCAGGGCGAAATCGTTGTTGATCATGGGGCTGTACGACGAAGCGGGGGCAGTCATGTCGCCAGTATCCAAACTAACCAATTGCTCCTGCGCAGCGGCGGTCGAGACGGGCAAAGACATGGTGACAGCGTCAATCAATGGTCGAGAAGCGTGATGGTCCGGTTGAGGTTGACCGTCCACGTCGGGAAACTGCATTCCGAACTCGAGGAAGTTGGTGAATTCATCGTCGTTGGACGGAGGAATGTCCGACCAGGACAGGGAATGCCCTTGATCCATGACGAAGTGGAAGGGGTGCAGAACGGATGGAACTCCCAGCTTCTGTTCGATAAGAAAAGTGGAGCAATAGAGACGGTGAGCGGCAGACGTTTGATTGTCGACGATAGGGTGATGCGGGGAGGGGAGGAGGGACTGGGAAAGAGCTGGGCGTCGCGATTAGAATCAAGACGAAGAAGGACCAAACTAATTCAGTGGGGATCATTTACTTGAGGAGAGGAGGGCGTAGGGCACGCTCAGGAGGAAGCTTTCAGGGACATGGTAGAGGACGAAGGATGAATAGTCGGAAAAGAAAGAGAGATTATTTCCAGACTCTAGGTACCGATAGGAACGTCACTTCAACCACCAGAACAGAAATGGGAATGGTCACGCGAGAAGAAAGGTAAAAAAGAAAGGTGGAGGAGGAGGAGAAGAGAAGAAGAAAGATGATTTTGAGAAAGTGAACCAAAAGTGAACCACCAAAAATAAAATAAGATAATAAGAAAGGGAAGGAGGGGAGGGAGTCGGGACTCAGAGCGAGAGAGAGAGCGAAAGAGAGAGAGAGGAGCGGAGGAACGAGGATGAGCGGCCTGACTGGCTGGCTTCAGGACTCGGGACTAAAAGTAAAAGAGAGACTTCAGGAAAAGAGAGCAGAACCGAGAAACCTTCCAAGTTTGAAAGTCTAAAAGGCTAATAAGTTCCGCGGCACTGAGCCCAATGGCACGATTTCCGCGGATAACAGAACTACAGAAGCCTTCCTGCTATTAATTATTGAGTTAGGTAGCCTCGAGCAAAACAATCACCGGAACGATAATTGTGGTTTGTAAAGAAGTACGCCGTACGGTACTGGAGATTATACGAGTAGTCTAGTAACTTGTCTACGGAGTAGTAGTGATCGGGGGGGAAAGGGCCCCGGCCCAGTGGAGTCGGCGAAAAAGAGAGAGAGAGGAGGGGAAATTCCCGGGTGGATCAGTTACGTAGTTAGCAAAATACAGAGTACGGAGTACCTACCTACTATGTATTATTGACTCAGTGAGATTACCGATATGTTACTTACTTACTTGGTACTACATACTTATTTACCTGTGTATACGCAGGTGACGATCACGATCTATGAGTATGCATCTCCAGTACTGTACTTGCTATTTATCCAAGGCTGAAAATGAGATAGACTTACATGGCTTGAGCTCAACAGCTTGATTTCCTACATCAGACCATAGGTGGTGGTGTTATTTTCCCGGGGTCCTACTTATCTATCATTTTCACCCTGCAGGCGCTTGAAGGTTGTGAGCAAAGCAACGCAAAGCAACACAACGCCACGCCACACCACACCGTTGGTCTGTGTTTGGGATTCAGCCCACAGCCTTCTGGGAGCTTCTCACAATTCCAATCGATCCTGAATTGGTTCACGATGACGGGCTAGCGGGCTGGCTGATCAGACATTACGTTTTGGGCAAACGCCCAAGTGACCTCTGGAGCAAAGAAATTCCACCACGAGACAGGAGCGACGGAATCCGTCGGGTATGTACTGTATGTACATACAAGTTTGCTGCACCTCAAGAATAAGAATTATAAAAATGATGAGTTATGTTTCATCGTACCTATTAGCCGACCTTGTCTGCTTTAGGTCGTACATTAGTCTCCCTGCCGGTCCATTAGCGAGCTGAATTCATTTGACCGGTGGTCCGGTGGTACTCCCTAGTAACTTATCAGTCTGGTGCCTGGCTTAGGATGCCGGCCGGCACGGGAAGGAGTAGTCTGCAGCATTGGTCTCCGGTCATAGTTATTAGAGGTTAGGTAAGAAGCTGGAAAGAACTTACTTATAGTGCCTCAAATATGACTGGGAGTTGCGCAGATTGAGAGAAAGGGATGCAGTGTACCGAAGAGATGTGCCAATCCTAGCCCGACGGTGGATGGGAGTTCTAGATTTGTTTCTTTTAGCACAAAGTAGTTCTGGTGGGGAAAAGATCAGGAAAGAAAAAAGAGACAAACTAAGGAAGAACACATTCCCCAGCAGCACTAGAGAAATTGGATACGGGAGGATGTACTGTAAGTTATAACTACCGATATATAGTACTAAATTTTCATATGTACTAATATTTCAAGCTAGTGTATGGACCTTTTTTGCCACTACCTTACTAAGGTAGGCACCTACTTCATCGTACTCATACTTACCTAGTAGTCTCTACAAAGAAGTCTTATGGTTTGAATGAATCCGTATGTATTGCATATCATCTCAGCGAGCCTGAATGGTCAGCGAACCACTTTCTCTTTCTCTCCCCCCACTACGTTATTGGGGTTAAGCACAAAACCCGGCCGCCGCGGGCGGGAGAGGAGGGTTTCGAATTTGGTTCCTCTCACTCTCCTGGCAATTGCAAGCCGATTTGAGTAATGGAAACCCGCTCCAGCCAGGTGGTGTGCTGTGATAAGAGCACGGGCCAACCAAAGATCCCCATCTTCTACGTATTATGTAACGTTAAGTGGTCGTTTCACTCTGG